GGTCCTCAACAATGGATCTCTTCCAGTCAGTTGACCAGACAGTTGTCTTCCAATTTTCTTGGCAGAGATGAGTGAGTGCCTCCTGTGCCGCCTCACTTTGTTGGAAGATTTCAGTTTTTATTCCATCAATTCCTGGTGCCTTGTTCTTTGCCTTAAGTGCACCCTGGTCTTGTTCCTTCAGTATCATTGACTCTTGATCATATGTTACCTCTTGAAATGGTTGAACATAGACCATTTCCTTTTGATACAGTGACTGTGAATTCCTTACATCTTCTTTTGATGCTTTCTGATTATTCGATATTTTACCCATGTTGTTGTTGTCAGGTGCCATTGAGTCGGAACCAACTCATAGTGACCCCATGCACAGCAGAATGAAACAATGTCCCATCCTGGGCCAACCTCACTCCCGCCGCCACACTTGACGTCATCAATGATGTCACCTAACTGATCCATCTCGTTGGGGGTCTTCCTCTTTTTCTCTGACCCTCCATCTTAGCCAGCATGACATCCTTCTCCAGCGACTGTTCTCTCCGGACAATGTGTCCAAAGTGTGAGAGACGAAGCCTAGCCATCTTGGCCTCCAAGGAGCATTCTGGTTGCACTTCTTCCAAAACAGATCTATTGGTTCTTTTGGCAGTCCACGGCACTTTCAGTATTCTCTTCCAACACCACAACTCAAAGGCATCAATTCTTCTACGATCTTCCTTATTCACTGTCCAGCTTTCGCATCCATAGAATCCTTCAATAACAAAAGTCTAGGCTTGAATTTTTTCTTCAGTTCCCTCAGCTTGAGAAATACTGAGTGAGTTCTTCCCTTTTGGTTTTATAACCCTGAATCTTTGCACATTTCATTATAATATTTGACTTTGTGTTCTCGAGCTGACCTTTGAAATTTTCTGTTCAGCTCTTTTACCTCCTCACTTCTTTCATTTGCTTTAGCATCTCTATGCTGAAGAGCAAGTTTCAGAGTCTCTTCTGACATCCATTTTGGTCTTTTCCTTCTTTATTGTTTTCTTAATGACCTTTTGCTTTCTTCCTGTATGACATTCTTGATGTCATCTCACAACTCTTCTGGTCTTCGGTCTTTAGTGTCTAATGCATCAAATCTGTTCTTCAGATGATCTCTAAATTCAGGAGGGATATGTTCAAGGTCATAGTTTGGCTCTCATGGACTTGTTCTAGTTTTCTTCAGCTTCAGTCTGAACTTGCATATAAGAAATTAATAGCCTGTTTCACAATCTGCTTGATTTCTGTGTATTCCATATGGTGGGTTCCATGTGTGTAGTTGTCTTCTATGTTGTTTGAAAATGGTATTTGCAATGAAGAAGGCATTCGTCTTGCAGAATTCTACCATTTGACCTCTAGCATCGTTTCCAACCTTTGCATTCCAATCACCAGTAATTATCAATATGTCTTGATTCCATGTTTGATCAATTACAGAATAAAGAAGTTAGTAGAATTCTTCAATCTCATCATCACTGGCTTTGGAGGTTGGTGAGTAAATTTGAATAATAGTGCTATTAACTGGTTTTCCTTATAGTAGGTGTATGGATATTATCCTATCACAGACAGCATTGTACTTCAAGATAGATCTTGATAATGTTCTTTTTGATGATGAATGCAATGCCATTCTTCTTCAGTTTGTCATTCCTGGCATAGGAAACCATGTGATTGTCAGATTAAAAATGGCCAATACCAGTCCATTTCAGCTCACTAATGCCTAGGATATCGATGCTTGTGTGTTCCGTTTCATTTTAGACATTGCCCAATTTTTCTAGATTCATACTTTGTACATTCCGTGTTCCTATTATGAATGGATGTTTACAGTTGTTTCTCCTCATATGAGTTGTGCCCCGTCAGCAAATGAAGGTCCCGAGGATTTTACTCCATTTGTGACATCACAGTCAGCAATACTTTGAGGGGGCAGCTCTTCCCCAGTCGTATTTTGAATACCTCCCAACCTGAGGGGTTCTTCTTCTGGTACTACATCTGACAATACTCAAGCAACTCGACAACACTTAACAACAAAAACAACCACAGACCCTTAAGGAGCCCTGGTGGTGCCATGGGTTAAGCATCCAGCAGCTAACCACAAAGTGGGCGGTTTAAACCCTCTAAACGCTCCTCAGGAGAAAGATGTAGTTGTCTGCTCCCATAATTATTTACAATCCCAGAAACCCTAAGTGCAGTTCTCTGTTTTGTAGGGTTACTGTGAGTCAGCATCTCTACAGCAGTGGGTTTTGGGTTTTAGAATAGACCTGTGCCCTGTGCCTCCAAACCCCAGTGGAGAAAAACATTTTCAGAGGCCAACTCAGAATCCCCTAAAGGGGCCAACAAGGGTCTGCAACCTGGCCCTACCGGCCTCCCACATAAACACATAGAACCTTCCAGTTCCCCGCACTGACACTGCCCTGACCCCAGCCTCTGCTCTGGGGGCTTCTGTCCACACCCCACACCCCCAGCCACTCTCTCTGCCTGTTCAGTGTCATGCCCCACAGCACCCTGTGTGTCCAGCGTTATGACCATGTAATCACACAAAGCTGGGACAGCATCAGCTGAACAAGGCTGGGGTCACCCTCCTTACAACTCCTGCCATACCTGCCCTTCTTGCCACTGCCAGTCCCAGGCGGCCAGGACCTAGAGCCAAGAAAACGCCCCAGCAAATGTTGGGTGGATGCGTAAACAAAACAGTGGGTGTATAGACAGACGGATGAATGACCATCACTGAACTGGGACTCTTGTTTCTAGCGATTGTGGAGAAGTTCCATCTGGACATAAGCAAAGAAGAAAGCCAACAGCTCATCACCAAGTACGACCTGAAGAACAACGGCACATTTGCCTACTGTGACTTCATCCAGAGCTGTATCCTCCTGCTGAAAGCGAAGGAGACGTCGCTGATGCAGAGGATGAAAATCCAGAATGCACACAGAATGGTGAGTGAGTGGTGCCCTCGCTGGCCGCGTCTGCTGGGAAATGCTCTCTTTTAGCTCAATTCATGGTGCACAGGGCTTCACAGCTGCAGAAGGGTGCCCAGCACCTCTAGAAGAGAGAGCCCAGTCCAGCTCTGCCTCCAGCAAGGACTCCCTGGTTCTCAGTCAGCCCATCCAATCTGCCTGTCACCTGTCCTTCCCTCCCTCCAGCGACCACCTCCCCACCCAACGCCTGCTCAGAGAGTCTCCCCACACACAGGACTTTGCCACGCCGCCCTTCAATGTCTCATTTCTTTCTTTGCTTTAAAACCAACTCAAGCACCGGACAGCTTCTCAGGATGTGGAGGGCCCTAGAGGTCAGGGTTTGTGGGTCAAGATCAGGTCGCCATCTTGGATGTTGACCACTAGACACTGTTTAGGCACTTCCATCCTTGAACAGAATTCAGATACTTACTTTCTTGCTTTCTAGAACCTCTAAGGTCTAGAAACCCCAGACTGGGACCCAAGAGACTAGATCCCAGGTTCTCAGGTGACCCTGAAACATCGGAGGATAAACAGTCAGATCCAGCATCAGCCACTCCTACAAAGCTGCGGGGAGTGGGGATGGGCCAGCTGACATCCTAGCCCAGTTGTGCATTGCTGATGTCAACACGAATGTAATGATTACTCTTACTGGTCCAAATGTGCTCATCCTTTAGGCATGCATGCAGGGTCAGACCCTCTGGAGTGTCTGGTCATCTTTCTTCATAGACTACACCCAGGGCCTTTGGTCTACGTACAATCTTCTGTTTCTATGAAGAAGAACGAGAGCCTAAAGACACTCCCATAGCAGCCGAATGCTCTAGTCTAGGTGTCTGCACTTCGCATCTCAGCCGTTCATGTTTTTCTAATTCCCACCCCTGCCCAGGTCAGCCACAGTCTTCCACCAACTCCCCTTTCTCGAGTCTTCCCCAAACAGGATACTAAAGCATTTTTGATTTCCTTGTTCATAAGTAGCCTTGAATGTCATGTACTGAATTAAATAATGGGTAACTGGAATTACGGAGCTGAGGAACAAAGCTAAATCCATTCACCCTCAACTCAGGTGGGACCAGCTGGTGGGACAGAGCTGGGGGACCGCCCTCCCTGCCCCTCATCCCTGCTGCATTCCCTCAGGCAACAATTAAGGTGACGGAATGGGTTCATCCAGCCAACATAGTGTAGTCCCTGCTGAAAGCCTCCACACAGTTACATTTAGCGTGTTGTGCCCAGTCACGGACCCTCTTGGTGGTGTTTCTAGCTAGACAAGCAGGAGCAAGCATGAAGGGGGGAGAGAAATGGAGCGTGGGAAAAGTCCTTCTGCTAGCGGGGTTTTCTACATCCGGGGAAAGACTGCTGTCCTCAGATCTTTCCGGGGCCCTGACAAGTGGAGAAGTTCCTGAAAGTGCCCCGCTTTTTCTGCCTCTCGAGGTCTCAGTCCTCCCCCTTCCCACCATTAATGAGGCAAGGGCTCTGTGGGCTTTAATGTGGTGGAGGGTGACCAATGTCCCCTTGTTCCCCCTCCCAGTCCTTCCCTGTGTGCATACACATTGCCCGCCCTCAGCAGGCCGCCCACTGGCCCTGGAGGACCGCCCAGCTGGGTGATATTACACTGTGGAAGCTACCGAGGCTCCGGGACAGCAGGCTCCCAGTGCATCTAGGCCTCAGCCCACAGCTCGGGCGTCCCGGCCTTTCCATCAGCAGATCCTCACACTGGACGTCATCTCGAAGCTTCAAGACAGCCCCACAGCTTTCTGGGAGAGAGTGGGGCAGCCCTGTGCCAGCTCTGCCCAGGTCCCCTCTGGCTGCCAAGGCCCCCTAACTGTGCTTGGGGTTGTTAACATTCGTCAAGTCATTCCCCAGCTTACAGTGATCCCACGCAGAGCAGTGCCAGGTACTGCCCAGTTCTGTATCATCCCCTTAACCAATGGCAGATCAGACTGTTGTGATCCACAGGGTTTACGTAGGCTGATTTTTTTTTGTAGATTGCCAGGTCTTTTTTCTTAGCCTTAGTCTGGAAGCTCCGTGTCGTAACAGCACGCAAGTATCTCCTGACTGATGAGCAGTAGCTGCACAGTGCAGTGAAACGGTACCCAAGCCCCCTGCCTTCCAGAGAGAAGCTAATGGGAAACTTTGCTAGTGGTTTGGGGAGTTCTCTCAACCTTCTCACCAGAAAGACCTCCCTTTAGGGAGGACAGTTTGGCCCCTACCCTGCCCTGCAATGTCAGAGTCAGAGGCGTGGGCTCCCTCGGCAGATCTGTTGCACTGTGTTGGGATGGGGACCTTTCCCAGCTGGACTTATCCTAAGACAAGCGAGTGGGCAGGGCACCCATTCCTCCCCTAAGGATGGATGGGCAGGGCTGACCGGAAACACTGGCCGCTCACAACGCCATGGAGTACCTGGTGAGTGTCCATCATTGGGGCTAAATGGTGTAAAACTTGAAAGCAGTTTAATTCTGTGTTAACTCTCCCAAAATAAGTCACACCTCACTGCCACAGTTCACCCTGTGCTATTCAGGCATGCATTAGGGCGAGAAATCATCTTCCTTTCGATCTGATAGCATCTAAATGAAATCATCACAGTGCAGTGTGCTGTCTAATTGCTAGATATGATTACAACCCTTAGAAAAAAATTTAAGGTGTTCATTATCATAACCTACTATAAGACCCACACTGAAAAATCGCTCTTTTCCTCTCAAACTATGTTGAAACTGGCCAGGTAGCTGTCTGACCTCCTCTCTTCAAGTTCCTGAGCTAGCGTGTCCTCCTTGTGTGGAGCTGTAGGATAAGCACTGCATTGCTAACGTCAGGTTGGTGGTTCAAACCCACCAGCCGCTCCTTGGAAACCCTATCAGGGTCACTGTAAGTTAGAAGCAACTTAACACTTAGCAACAGCAACAAGTGTGCCCTCCGTGTGGAGTCAAACAGAGCTTCGATTCTGCCTCCACCTCCCTGAGCCTCCATTTCTCAATCCATAAAATGGGGATAAACAGATGGACTGTCTTCACTGGTTGCAGGGGCAGGAACCAACCACTGGCCGTGGTGTTGAGTGGACTCCTTTGCACAGCCGCCTCTTGTGTGTCAGAGTAACAATGTGCTTCCATGAGGTTTTCTGAGGTTGATTTTTTTTTTTTTTTAAAGATTACCAGACCTTTCTTCCCAGGTACCTCTGGGTGGAACTGCCGGCTTTTCTTTCAGTTAGCAGTGGAATGCATTCACCATTTGCACCCTTCAGGGTCTCTGTGAGGGCAGGGCAGGGAGCCCTCAATGACATCATGTTTTAAACAACCACCTTCACACACACAGACCTGTAATGATCAGGGATGGTGCTGACGGGGTTAAGATGAACTCTGCTCCCCCAATCCATCCCAGACTGAGAGCCAGTGGGGCCAGAGCTCTGACCCTGAAGGAGGGCGCTCAGGAACCCTGTTGTTTTCCAGAAAGAAGCTGGTGTGGAGACCTCTTCCTTTTACTCCGCTTTGCTGCGGATTCAGCCCAAAATCGTGCACTGCTGGCGTCCTATGCGGCGCACCTTCAAAACCTATGATGAGGGCGGGACGGGGTTCCTGACTGTGGCTGACTTCCGGAAGGTGAGCGTGCCTGGGAGGTGGGGGCGCACAGCGCAGTCAGAAAACTCAGAAGCGAGTCCTCCCCA